CCAAACCCCCTGCCCCCCCACAAAAAAAAAAAAAAGATCGAGCGAAAAGAGATTCGATGTATGTGAGCAAGGCTGTAAAGAGCCAAAAAATATATATATCGCATCTCTGCGTGTAAGCTTGACCACGTAAGCACACACACACACACACACACACACAGACACACAGACACACTGGAGGGAAAATACACGTACACACACATGTGAATCACGCTATTGCGTCCTAGAAGGAGCCCACCAGCCGCAGGCCGCTGCTACTGCTCCTACTAGTTGTGTTGCTTCTCCATTCCTGTAGCTCCGCACTACTCAGTAGAGGAGGGAGGAGAGCCGCGATCGTGCTTCTTGGCTTTTCGGGTCACCATGGTAAAGCTGGAGGACGCCCAACAGACACGTCTTTACCTGCCGCACACGCCTCGCGCTCTCGGTCTCCACCTCCTTTGTTTCTTCCTCCTTTGGTTGACGTCTCCGTGCTTTTGGGAGATCCGACTTAAGCAGGCTGAACATTGCCTCCACGTCTTCACTGGGAAATTGCTCCGGCACCGCACGAGCGTCCACGAGCTCGTCAATCCAGCGCAGGAGCCGTGTCAAGTACTCATTGGCAGCATTACTTTGTTCCGAGTGCTGCAGCTTCCGCTGCTCCAGCACCGCTTCGCCACGCACGAGCAGCACCTCGGAGAGCGACATCAACCGCCGCACGGTGGCGTCGCCGAGTACCGGCGTAAAGTCACGTTGAATGGCATTAAGCGCGAACATGACATTCTCTGCTGCTATATCGCCAATTGTGGCATGCACACGAGCCAAGAAGAGGACTTCTAGGCCACATAGAACTGCAACAGCAGCGTACTGGGAAGAGTGATAGTACCGTGACACCATGTCTTCCTCGCTAAGTCGCCGCACGTCCATCCCTAGCTCCCGACGCAGTTCCTGCAACTCATCGTAGGCTTTCTTCTTCGCCTGCTGAATGGTCTTGCGCAGACCGTCGAGCTGCCCGCTCTCTTCCGGGAGGCGGATGCACTCAGGGCCAACCAGTGCGCTCATGATTTTGTTCTGCAGGTACTGCGTGGAGGCGCCGTGCAGGAGATCGGCGCTGGCTGCCGCCGGCAGTGGATTTTGTCGATCCGGTGATCCACCACCCATGAGATCAACATTGAGCTGCTGCTGGTAGTGCTCGAGGAATTTACGCAGGATGCCCTCCAGCCGTGATTCCACGATGTGGCCAGAAACCTTGTCAATGATAGTGCCCTGCATGATGAAGTAGGTCACCGGCAGTTTTGCCCGCTCCACAGAGAAGGCTGACGCGAGGTTCCTGTTCTCATCAGCGTTGATGGTGCAAAGTTTTAGCCATGCTCGCTGCACAGAGGACTCACTCTTGTTTTTGCTGTTGTCTTTGACGCTTATTTCCTCGTTGAGACGGTCTACGAGGCGTTCTGCGTGCGCCAGGTAAGCATTGCAGCTGCTGCTTTCTGGCCGATAGTACACAACGCAAATGGCCTGTTGTGATTGAATAACTTCGCTTTCGAATGATGCCGCATCAGTCTTGTAGGCGATACTGCGGTACGAGACANAAATGGCCTGTTGTGATTGAATAACTTCGCTTTCGAATGATGCCGCATCAGTCTTGTAGGCGATACTGCGGTACGAGACAGACAAAGGCGTGTGACTCATCGTCACCGTCGGCTTCCAGCTCCTTGTCATGCAGGTGCGCAGCCGAGCATCCATGCACGACCCACACATGCGGCTGCTGCTGGAGTTAAACCAACGCCGTGTGACTACAAATCGCATTCGTGAGTTTCGCAGCATGAACACCCTATTCACTACGCTTGTCTGTGTGAACCGTCAATACCCGGGATAACTTCCATGATACAAGCGCAAAGGTCAGAAATGAACAGAGAAGAGAGCACTGACAACACCAGCAACTTGCAAACGTAAATCACAGGGCTACAACCCATTATACATTCTTGATCCCTCCTTTCCGCCCACTTCCTCGAGATGCACCATAATGGAGAAGCCCACATATCACACTCTTGTTTTTTTTCTTCGACTCAGAAGAACGGATCTGCGAAGAGGAGACCCTCCCCCCCC